CTTTGTTTCCTGTAGGTGTTCGTGACGTTGTTTTTACGTCATCGTATTTTTGAATCTGGGATCGATTTGATGGCTGCCCCCATTACTATTACTATTTATCGAGTTTTCTAGGTTACTTTTAATCGAATGTGATCGGGTATGATGAGCCTAGCTCCAGTTGATGTTTGGATAGAATCGGTAACTGGTGAACGTTGGTCGGAACGAGTTCGACTATTTGAAACTATAGGCGAGTTGAAGAAACGTGTATGGCGACGTAAACGGATCATACCGAGCAGACAGGCTATCGTGAGTTCTTAGGAACCCTTTCGATTTCAGCTCCGTTGGCTTAGAGGGGACATTTTGCTCCTTCCGATCAATGTCGAAGCTTGTAATTTTTGTGAAGCTCTGAAATGCTTTTCGGCTTGCTTGTCCAGACCACCTTGTGAATACCTTGAACTCGTGTAAAGCTAAGCCAGCGTTCAGACTTCGCGATGACGCGCGTCGACGCACTACCATTGCAACAGCGTTCCAATGTTATAGACGGAAACGCAGCCTAGAAGGGTATCGATCGGCACCGGTCGCTGGTGTTCTGAGACAGTGTAGAGGAATAGGAGCGTACCAGACCGTGTGATTAGGCAACGCCTGCTCTCCTATTCTCCCATATTCTCTCAAAGCAGTATTCCGGCGCCGATCGATACCAGTCCATGACTGCGTTTCTGTATGTAACATTGGAGCATAGTTGCGATCGTGGCGAGCTGACGCGCTTTACACACCCTTAGCCTGGAGTCTGAACCCTACCCAATACAGCAATGCATAGTGAAACTCGTACCATTTCGAAGCTTCACACAGGTCTTATCAAGGTGAGGAAACTGAAGCTTGCGAATCAGCGAAATCCCCCCTCTGCCTTATAAGCTGAAAAGCACGTAGTTTTGAAAATGTGGGAAGATTCTCATTTATTTTTCGCGTATCTGATTTGAACCGTACAGTAAGTAGATAATATACGATCAGTTTTTGTTTTGATGTGGTCGGGTTTTTAGGTATTCGGTGGCCGATCTTTGCCAGATGAAGTTGAGATGGACACGGTTGGTGTGCGTGCTGACTCAACATTGAAATTGTTAGTGGTGGCCAAATCGGGTCCGTTAACAGGGCGAGAAAGAGATGAGCAACTGCTGCTCAGCGATGATGTGAGCGATCGTGAGCATAGACGACAGAGTCGCAGGTATACCTTTCTCAACCAATTTTGAGACATACACGTAATAGTGATATTATATTATACTCGAAATGATTTGCAATAGAAATGACGTGAATTATTCAGAGGATGTAGCGCCGCTGAAGATACAAGCGCCAAAGAAAGTAGTGCTGGTGAAACAGAACGCGAGCATGATGTGGGCTATGAGCGGAAGTTGGCAAGAATTGCAGGCACCTCGGCCGCAGTCAATTCCAGACACGTGCGTCGTACTCGAACGAATAGTCAGGGCGCTCCTAAAGGTTGGTTGCGCTGTAGTTGCGATATTGTCTTTAAGGCAGTGGGCGCGATGGCTGGGGGCAAGCGATTGTTGCCAACGTTATTGGTGGAAGGGCTGCAAGAGCCCCATCGACCCATTGCAGCTGACCTTGGCAGTAAACGTCCCCCCTCCCTCGCCATCGTGCTCGCTGCCTTTAAGTACGACGCTGAAAGGGCAGAGAGGTAGCCTACGGGCGCAGTACGTAGTCGGGGGTGGGTCCTAGGCGACTGCCCACTGAAGAGCTCTGTGGGTCCCGTTGTGGCGCCTCCCAGAAGGTCGTACGTGGGCCCCAATGTTATCCTTGGGGCCTTGATCAACTACTACCATTTATTTTTCAGATCTCCCTTCGTATGCTGAAGGCTGTACTCCGTTAATCAGTGTCACTGGTCCCCAAACAAGCGCAGTAGTGTCGAACTCAATAGGAGCGCTAACGGAGGCGCTGGAGAAGCTAGAGGTTTTTTACATTACCAGTTTGTACAAAGTAATGAAGACAGGAAAATGGAAATAGTAACTCTTCACTGTTTCAGAATTTACGAGTAGAATCACCGACTGGCGACGAGGTACTGTCGGAGGACCCATCAGAACTGTCATCTGGCATGATTGTATGCGATTTGACTAACGAGTTTCGGCGACAAAAGGTAAGCTTAGAGTTAAGTTTTGAGTTTTCCAGAATACTGGTGCTTTTGTTTACACGACAGGCAAAGCAATGACGCCTTACACTAAAGGTCCGCCATGACATATAAATTGGTAAAATATAGCGTGAAAAAGTTCTAGTTTGCCCCGCAATGGAAAGGTGTGTACCTTTTTCGCGCCGAAAGGTTGTAATTAAAGGCGCAGGCGCTGAGGCTGGAAGTTGCTCCAGTGACGCCTCCTTTTCTCAGTGACTCTGCCTCCAGACTCCGCTAACTAGCAGCCAGCGGTGAGAGTAGCATAAAA